CATTGTTCACGAAACTTGCAGGTCGCATTCCAAACACGACGGAAGCATCTAGCTCAAACATGGCTGCTACTCGGTACATCTCTAACTGAAATGGTTCCGGCAGGACCCCTAGGACCACCAGACTCATTGAAATCCTCAACTCATATTGATGATCAGCCTTTGCCCAATTCCACACATGTATCCGCCGGGACACCCACTTCGTACACCTTCCCCGCCTCGGTCTCGAACCCGACGCAGCTTCGAAAGACGAGTCCCAGTCATCTAGCGACACGAAGTGCTTCCGCTTCCACATCTCGAAAGATGACCCCCGCATCATCGAACGCCTCCTCCCCACGCCAAAACGCAAATGCCCTCCCTTCCATGACACCTCGTCGCCCGTCCGTCTTCAGCACCCGTGACAACGGTGACTCGGACCTCTCGCGTCGGTCATCAATCTCAATGTATCGCCGCCCGTCTATTGCTGCCCAAGGCTCCCTTAGCCCTGCCGATAAGTCCGGAAGCCTGCGTCATGTTGGGGAGGGAGCCTTGGACGACTCCGATTCCTCGTCCGCGAGCGAGAGTGATGGCGGCGACGAGGCTATGCAGGGGGGATACAGCGACGAAGAGGACAATGCCCAAGCTCTAGTATCGCCCGGCCTGCTTTCGGCCCGAGGTATCGCTGCTCCGAGCCCTCTGTCCCGCGTCGCTGGGCAGCAGCGGTGGACGGAAGACGAGGCCGAGGAAAGGAGAGAACTTGACGACGACAACGGCGACGATGACGACTCAGAATCATCTCCGTCACCGCGCTCGACCGATTCCGAGTCCTCAGGACCATCCAGGTCGATCGTGCGGCGCAAGAACTCACTGAGATCGGCATCGCGTCCCCTGAAGCGGCGTGCCGAGCACTTCAAATCTCGGAGCCGCAGCTCCACTGTCGCATCGCTTGCGGCGGCACCGCCTGCTTCGCCGCGGTGTGTGGTGCGCCAGGATTCGCATAGCAGTATACGGACTATTACCGCTGGGGAGACCTCGTTTGCCGGCCAGGAGGCGGAGGCGGGCGTGAAGCCAGATGACACCGTGCGGGATGCGGTTGGGGCGACGCATGAGCGACACAGGTCGATGCCCATCTCCGATTTGACTCTGGACCCACCTACCGCGAGAGGCGAAAATCAGGATCCGGGAGAAGAGGAGCAATCGGAGGTCGATTCCGCCGAGCTTACTGATAGGCGGATTGAGATGATTACTGCGGACGAGAAGAGGTTCCGGGAAATCGCCTGGGCGGCTCTTCGGGATGCGCTGGAGCGCTTTGCGGATGAGGTGACTGGGGTTTTGCTGCTACGATCCTAGGATGAACCTCACACTTCATGCTCATACAGGGCGACATTCAAATGTGTGCCATGTTGTCGGTTGTTGCTCCTAACGAGCTGAAGATATCCAAGCGGCGAGCTGGGCGCTTTTTGGAGTCATATATCGGTATGTACATCCTCCACCAAAATTCGCATACTCATCCAGCCTCCACAGACCTTCTAACACGTCGTCGGTTGCATGCTTGCTCCGCCTATCTTCGCAAGTACTGTAAGGTGGACGATATCTTTACAACCACACTGGTAAAAGACCGCTTCCGCTGCCACGTCTCAAATTCCTGATGAACCCCATTTTCAGTTGGAGACGACGATATATACCTCATGTGGGCGATGCCGAAAACCAATCGTATTCCCGGCTGGCTCATCCATTCCGGATCAGACGGCGCAGGGCGGGTACTCGTACTGCATGTCATGTAAAGCCTCTTCCGTGAAGTGCGCAATCTGGTGAGTCCACCATACCCAAGCTCTGTAAGCACGAAGCTCGTACTGATATTCCGCCGCAGTCGCCTGCCCGTCCGAAATCTCTTCTTCAAATGCTCGATATGCTCGCACGGCGGGCACCAGGCGTGTTATCGCGCCTACTACTCGCAGCTGCCCATGGTCGATCTCCCGCAGTCGTCGAACCCCGACGAGCCACCTCCAGATACCGACGCTCGCCCGGCGAGACACCGGACGTCGTCTACCTCGACAGAAGAGGACTTCAGCTCGACAAGTACCCTGAATCCTGTAGAATCTTCGAAGTCTTTGGAGACGAACAGTCCGCAACAGAACTTGCCTACAACGAAGCTGACGGGGTATCGGTGTGCGGCGGGGTGTGGTCATTTTTGTTGGGCAGCCAGTGTTAGTACAGAGGAGTAACGATGTGTAGGTTGCTACTGTATAAATCTTCAGGCATAGTACCCAAGCTTCGTTGCGCATTACAAGCGCTCGTTGAGCATGTCAGACATCAGCAGAAAATAATCTGGTTGTAGGGACGTTGGGGCAGCTGCTATGAAGCGAGTCCCAGTCCGAAGCGATCAGCTTCGCAGGCAGTAGTGACCACGGCTGCCATCCAATCAATGAACAGAGACTTCTTGAGGTCCCAAAGGTGACGCCCGTACTATCTCTGCCCACCCACGTGTAAACCAGCGGTTCCCTTCCTTCCCATAACACAACACACAGAATTCGAACGTGGTCTGAACAATCCGTCGCATTAGATTTATGCGATATAGTGGGGGTGTATTATTTTCTATGGATGGTGTCGACCACGAAGGATTATGCGGGCTGGTCCGAAGACGACTCTGTGCCCTGATAGATGTCATGTACACGCGCTAAAGAGTCGCAAAAATGAGAACTCCGCATGAGAATAATCCGAAAACGCTGTACTCACCTCTCTCGCGCTCCAAAGATACATTATGCCGGAATCATAAGGTCTCCCCACGTCCTCACCGCGAGAATTCCGCCAACAAACATAGTAAGGCCCGTGACCAAGTTGATGTTCCCCGAAATCTTCTCGGGCGCAAAAATTTCGTTTTGGATGAACCTACAATATGAGGTGAGTTCGTGGTCCTACAAGACGGTACGAAATTGATTTTGACATACCGCGAGAACGCTGACTGGTCCTCATCGTGTATGCCGCCAACTGCGCGCCTCTGGGAGGGATGAGGAACGTAAGAAGGGCCGGAGGGAGGAGCAGAACGGCGGGCCATGGTGGTTGAAGTTAAAGGTTGCAGAAGTTGTCAGTGACGTGACGAAGTGTTTTACAAATTTACTTTTTCCACGAAATATGCCGGGGTTAGGGTTGTCGTAATCAGCTCACAAATTCTCCTGCAGACATTCAGAGGATGGATATATAACCAGGGATATCCCTCCAGCTCATCTGCTTTTCACACAACTTGCCTGGGCTGTAGAATCATTGATTAACATGCAAACGATTGCTTCGAAGCCCTCTGATGACTGAGTACTCCACTCGGGGGGCCGTCGGACTGACCTCTACTCAGACGACTGACGATTCTCCTGCTCACTCTCCCCGAGTCACCACCTCTTCAAGGTGTCGATTACCTCATATTGGCAGCCCATCACCCATGTCTTCTGCTACATGACTCTCTGGATGGCACCTACACTGCTCCGCTTTTCCATCTGTATCCGCACTATGGAGTAACGGGGGAAGTACTTGTTCAATCCGAGAGTCGCCCCGTGTTTATGTGCACACGATATGTCTGTTTCTTGGGTCGTGTTCTCATTACCTGGATATATATGTTCTTTGTGCCTGTCCCTTGCCTGATCGAAGGCCACTTCGCCTCATCAAGGCTGAGTTCTTCACTCTACTTGTTTCAACATCTCGGCGTGCATTCTCCTCCTCTTCCATGCTATGCTTAAGACTCGTTCTTCCTGCGCTCGAATTCAACGCCGGTCACAATACCCACATCCCCAGCGTGTACCGGGAGCACACCCGCAATTTCCATACTTCTATGTATGGATTTGGAGGGATTGTATGGCCCCAACAATGCGCGCGCCATGTCACGACGGAAGGTTGGAACCAATCACTCAATGAGCTCCCGCCCTTGATAAAGGCCAAGTCGTCGCCTGGACGCGCAATGACACCAACAGTGGTATCTTCCTCCTCAACCAGTCGTACCTCCCACTTCACTTCTACCCTGACGCGTACAATAGCCCCCAGATCAATGTCCTCAACACCACCATCGTTGACCACATCCCTCGTGGACGTGGCCAAGGCGAGCAGCCTCTCCGCGCTCACTGGTTTCGTGGAAATCATCAACGCCTCCCACTTCCTCGCCATTGGAACCTCCGCCACCGTCGAGCAGCCTCTGGAGGCAAACTCCACGCGCGGATATACGGTGACCGGGATACCCTCTTTGCTCCCGACAACAAATCTCTTCAGGAAGCGGGCTCCTCGGATTTGGCACAGCCACCTGCGTCGCCTTTTCGCCATGAACCCTTTTGTGCGCACGTATAGCCATTGCATCTACTTACTACCAGTACATCAACGGCACCTCCCTGTGCTCACCTGAGCTCGTCGGTGGGCTCTTGAACTCTGAATTTATCTCGGAGTCTGGCCAGACGTTCAGCTTTAACTCGAACATGTCCGGGTTGTTCGTCACCCAAAATGGCGCTAGCGCGAAGGTCGTCAAGTTGGATGTGCTGGTTGATGATGTTGTCGTCCACGTTATTGACCACGTACTCATCAACCTCAACTTCAACGAGTCAAATGCTTCGTTGGCATGAGTCCCCGAACTAATTCCTGCTTCTTGATCCATCTTCGAACTTTTCCGGTTCCCGCTCATGGTGCTCACCACGTCCGTATGCTTCAGGACTGGCACTCGGCCACCTCCGCCGCCGTCCACTGGTCGCACACGCAGACGGGCCCCATCGGCCTCACATCGACTTATAATACCGACGGTACCGGCCGTACGTATTCTGGGCATAACAGTGTGTTCTTGGGATTCTAGATGGGTCTTTGTATACCTGTATATGTAGTAGTAGTAGTAGTAGCATGATTGTGTGGATGCAGTATTCCCGCTCGTTTTGCCCCTGTATAAGACGGCCTCTGGCACTGTCGAAGCATGCATTTCAGCCTAGAGGAAACATGGGCACCGAGAGAAAAGATTGCTGAGATTGTCGGAGGAATAGTAGTGTACGCGCCACCCCGTAAAAAGCTGGAGACTGTGAGGATTGAACTCACGACCTCATGCAGGTATATATAGATTGCGAAGCATGCGCGCTACCACTGTGCCAAGACCCCTGTAACACTTAGCCCTGATCATTTACCAAATGGGGTGCATGGTGGCGTATCGACCAACTCTTTCCGACTTACTACATATCTGAGTATCTGAGCACGCGTCTCGTTAATAGGCGACTCTATCAAAAGCTTAGCCTAGGTAGGAATCAGGGATTTATGAGCCAGGAATGTAAGTACCTGAACAGAAAAAAGTTCGGTCAGAGGACGTTAGCGCCGTCTTGACACCCACGACGTGCGTGCACAGCGCCTCTCTGACTTACCAGAAGCGACTCGTAACACCGCCCATGGTTGAGCGCTGAGCAGGCGGGGCGGAATGAGGCTGAATCGGGAACTTCAACTTCACAGCCAGCCAAATCACGTGATAATGCAACGACGCCCCGAAGTGGGATTCCGTTGCACGCGCCGCGCGATGGAGAACCTTAATTCATCTGTAAAAAAATGCAGTCTGTCAAAACAACGACAGATGTAATTTCCATCCGGGGAATTAAACCAGATTGACATTCGCATCGAATTTGCGCGTCCATATTCTTGAAATGGTCGATCCACCCGTGGTATTTGCTTACCTTGGTACTACATCATCACAATTCGCACTACACAAAACCGAATTCTCTTTGTCGTGTAGACAATGAATTGTTGCGGGACAAGCGAATTGATAACCGAGACTACGATCGGCGTGTCGGTTTGATCTGAGACTGACCTGGAGATTTTGAATATGACCGCCGAAGGACCACGCGACAAGGTGGGGGGAAAATATGGATCATACACGACAGCATCCAACGGTGTAGGCAATACATTACAATACAAGCATCATTGAAAGCAATTAAGATGACAACAAATAGAGTAAGAAGAGATACTTTGACCCAAAACCCGTTCAGCAAACAAAGAAGCCTCTTGGAAAATCTCAAACCCACCCTAACTAGAATCTCTCTGTGCCCAATAGCCCTGAAGCCCACCTAAATCTGCGCTCGGCGGGAATTGTGCCGGCTGTGATAGCGAATAGTTCGAGGTGGGTGGAAGGCTACGTGGGGTGCTGGGCTGCCGTTGTGCGTACAAGGACCCTTCTCGGCCAGCGTCGGGATGATACGAATGGGATGGGTCAGCCAAGGAAGGCGACACAGTGGCGAAATCGTTTAATTCTCTTCCGACCATTAACGATTGCATTGGGTCGTAAGGCGCCGGCGTCATGGGTTGTGAGTGGGACAGTGGTGAAGCCGCCCCCGGTGAAGCATCGCTCGGGAAAAAAGGAGAGCTGAGGGTTTGCAAAAGAGCCGGTGAACCGGAAGACATGTGGCCAGTCGGGTGCGTTCGCTGCCAAGTGGGAGACGTTGACGGCCGATGAGCCTTAGGAGCAACGAGAGGCGAAGGGGTCCTGTCTGTCTGGTCTGTCGGGCCCAACCAAGACGATGGACGGAAGTTCCAGTTTCCGGTGGTGACTGAGCCCTGGTAGATGGGAACATACTGTGTGTGTATGTGGCTCTGGGCTCGGATGTATGGATACTTGTGCCTCGCATGTGGTGATTGTCCTGATGGGTTCTCATGGCAAGCACTATCCACAGCGTACGACGAGGGATCTTCGTGAACGCTGGGCCGTCGAGATGGCTCGCTTGGCGGGTACGCATACGGTGACGTGCGGGAAGATGATGGGTGATAAGTGGGTTGGTCTCCGCGAGCCTGGACGTCGTGGCTAGGACGCGCCCGATGCATGTCTGTAATGACCTCGGGCGCGTGAATATCATCTCCGTCGGTGGGAGAGTCCGCTATATCATCAAACACCATATCATCCCGTTTATCTTGCGGGGAGTGGCCGTCGGACGGACGCATTCCGGAAACATCGGGTTTGCGCTTCCTCCGCGAATTATTCGGTCGCCGTCGATAGACGTAGTCAGGATATTTCAAATTGAACGTGTCTTTCAGCTGCCGGGCTTGCTCCTGATAGAACTGTTTTTCTGTCTGCATAAAAGTCAAAAAAGAAGTCGCGAACAGATGTTCTATGAATGCTCACCGCCGGCATACTATTCCATTCTTTGCTCAAGATCTTGCTAATTTCGCCTGTGCGCATGGCGTGATTCTCTTCCGAAACCTGTGGTCTCCGTCTGCGAGCGAAAATCATGAACGCGTTCATGGGACGTTTTGGCGTGCCATCGTTATTAAGCGTCTGCGACGTCAATGCCGAATACTCGTCTTAATGGGAAATGGCCTTGGTTGAACGGAGTCTTGACTCAGTATATCCAATACTCACCTTCGCCCTCCAGCTCAACCTTCGCAACGTCATGATACGAGCCGTAACTTCCATCTTCCTCATCTGACACCGAGCCCCGCTCTTCCTGCCCTCCTTGCGTGCCCCCGTGGAATGGATTAGTGGTCGGTACATGTGCCCTCCGTTTGCTGTCGAAACCAGTGCGACTCATGAGAGAGAGCGAAGCGCGATAGGAACTGAAGAACAACAGTAAGAGAAAGAAAGAGAAAAAGAAGTGATGGTGGAGTACCTGAAGTGGACGCCTCTCAAATGTCGTTGCTGTGATCGGGCTGGGCGCGAGTCTCAGATGGCGCCGGCGGATACAACTACACGGAAGTTGAGCAACTCCAACTCCCTGCAACTGTTCGCTACCGTGGTGAGGCCACGACAACCCTAGGCTTTCGTCGCTGACGTATTATCCCAGTAAAACTTGGCCAACAACCCAAATGGATCGTCGAGTAAATCTCTGTACTTTTGGTTCGCGGAGCTCATGGCGCCGTTTAGATCAGCCCTTGTAACACAGGGTTCAAAGGCACGCGTCAGCGGATCCCAGACCTCAATCTTGCGCGTGGGCCGCTCCCCAGGTATAGCAGCTTGCCTTTTTCTGACGACATCGGAACATTGGATTCCAGACGCGGCTAGGTCCGAACATAAGCAACCATTTGGCGCCCAAGTCCCCAAAAGTTTGAAAGGAACCGCGATGATGTTTCAAGAAGTGCTGCCAATTCCACGCACCTTCTTGGTGATCTTCCAGAAAACTGTGGCGCCGTTGCGAGGGATGTAAGTTGCCTTTGCCCCAGAAACACTGCCCTCAGTCAATATGTCCAAATATCCGTTTGGGGCTGATAAGGAGAATTTCAAACAGCGCGAAATTGGACATGTCTAGAATCGAAGCCGATCCCGTCAACACAACCAGCAGATTGGAAGGTTTCTGAAATGATCGCTCTCGCAAGGGTACGCACGACGTTTCTTCAAGTGACGAATCAATAATGACCCTGCCATTTTCACGGCGTACTTACGCACTTGATCTTGCTTGTTCCAGAAATATGTGTGAGAGACTCTTGCCTGTGCAGTGCGCAAATGGCTGTGCAAGTCCAACGGCCCCGAGTCGGGCGGACTTTTCTTTGTGCTCCGGCGTTCTAGTTCCAACGCCCTATGACGAGTGAGCACTGAGCTGAACACGACAATTTGAACCATATTCCCCGAGCTTAGTACGCAGGTCAAGAGCAATAAGAGGCCCAGCAACCACTGTCAGAGGCAATAGTTCGAGGCTACAGCCTACATATAGATATGTCACCTTCTCGATGGGGTGGTCAACAACGAGTGTGCGCGTAACGTCAGTCACCATAAATTAAAAGAGAATTCCAGAAGCAATTACCCTTTCATCAGCACAGAAGTCCTCCTGTGGGGTTAATCAATGTTAACCGAGCGGAACGACCAGGTCAGGTGGCGAGCCAGGTCTTGACGCTAGATGCTTGAAGCCCTGGGCGTCAGTGTATTGTAATTTTATGAAGACCGCAAACCAATAGTATTTCTTTGATTAACTAGTCCATAGTTTGAGGACCTTCTAAGACTATTATAACTTCAGTACCTCAATGCATAGGATCCAAAAGGAAAGGGTAGTCTGGTACATATGCGTCTGCGACGTTGTGACGTTGAGAACTCCAAAGTCGGCAGGAAATGGCCGCACGCTAATCCTGCCTATGCATTTCGGGGCAACCAGTAATTGCACCAACCAAATTCAGAGGTCTTGACATTGGCTGAAGGAGTACGTATTGAGGCTGACTTGCCTATGTAGACGGAAGAAGACTCACAGGTGGTAGGAGATGCCGAGAAATCTCCAAAGCTAGTCGAAAGTTCAAACGTTCAAGAGGTAACACCAGCCGTGAATACATAATCAGAACACCAACTTCCAAGACGCGCATATGGCTATGTGCGGAGGTCAGGGGTGGAGGCATCCAGAAATTTCAAATCAGGATCGATCTAAAGTCCAGCACAACGATCAGGAACGCTGCGTGTGGGCGTGTTAAACGTGCTTAAACGTGGTATTCCTTGAAACCTGCCTCCGAGTGGCATTGAAGGATGCTTTAGACGTCTGCACGCTGCGCGGGGAAGATTGCGGGGATGGAGAAAGGTAAGCGAGTTTAATATGTATCGGATACCAATCGTTCGCTGTGCCGAGCCGCTTGACTGTGTGGGTTGAGCTGAAGAGTTGAAATACCCGGGAGCCTGTGACGCTAGCCACGTGGATGTGACGACATCACGCCGCTAGTTAGATCCGACTCCGATGACCGACACCGAGCACCATTTAATGAAGACTGTGTATTCCTAGTTACTCCACCGTTACTTCGCCAGCAATATGAAAGACACTATTAAGGACGCGAGTAAGTCCTTGTGCTGAAAGCCAGCGAGTCTGATGATCTGAATGACTTGTAGACTTTCCCCGGACCGCAGATGGACGCGTTTATCACCTTGGATTGCGATCTGGAGAAGTCGCGAATCGTATTGTAAGCTCCTATCTCGAACAAAGTTCGACCGAATTCTTCGTGATCGAATTCACTCTAGATCACAGTCGGATCGCCGTCTAGAGCAAGAGCTATTGCCACCTGTCTTGACGAGGCTCCTGAGCCGTTCGTTCTGTCCTCTGAACGTGGGTTTCTTACTATCACAGGCCGATATAAGAATGTCCCGATATCCATAATAAGTATTGGAATGGGTAGCCCAAACATGGACTTCTTCATCCGAGAAGTGCGCGAATGCGTGACTG